CACGTCTTGTAAGCGAGTTTTCAGAACACCAACACTTCCTGTTCCACTTTTTGTGGTTGTTTTGTGCAACACTCGGTGGATATGATGCATAATAAAATGATTATATGCCATATGCGCAGAACAAGAACGTAAAATAATATATTTCGCCTGTCCGGCTGTCTTTGGCCAGCTTTGTCGAAGGTCTGCAGCGGAAAAAACAACATGCGCATCGAATTGCGCCCGCGATGTGCAATGTATACGTATGTGCAACGTGCGTAATTTATTTTCGAATCGGTAATGAGTTATGAGCGCGTCTGGTCTGGGGCATTCATTTCATCTTTATCGTCATTATCATCACCTTTGCTTTCCTCACTTGCGTTTATTTTTTATTTTTTGTTTCTTGATGTATATGCAACCAAATATACAAACAGTTACTGTATAATGTTATTTTGTGTATTTTGGTTGCATAACATAAAATTTTAACCCTTTATTAATAAAAATAAAGAAAAATACAAATAAAAAGTCTAAAAACATAATTTTTAGTGTTTTTATGATGAAATTTTAAATTTTTTTGTTTTTCTCGTTGTGGTAAGTAGATTTCAAGTTTTCAACGTGATAATAAATATCGCTCGGGTTGTCGTCGAGTGTGTCAGCGCGAAAGGCGCGTTGTTAACGCCGCATTAATAACAATAATCGAGTCCACGCCGAAAAGTTGCTCGCCAAGCTTCCTCATTGTAGTTTCACTTCACCGGCAGCGTAAAAAATAAAACGCGTTCAACTTTTAACTCGCTTTCAGTGAGTTATTAGCAAGACACACCACATGCACACACACATAAACATAAACACAAGCAACATTATAGTTTCACTTAAATTTAACTCCAAAAAGTTAACATATTGGGCATAAATTGCCCACGCGAAAAGATCTCAATTGCTTCATTGCGTGCGCAAAAGAAAATGAAAAGTTTATTGTTGACTAGTTAATTGGTCAATTTACTTGTTTACGCCGGAGTGGATTTTTATGCGCGCTCGTAAAAATAAAAAGCGATACATTGATACATCGCCGATTCGCGTATTTCTCAATTTGTTGAGGTATTTGATCACATTGGTAAATTATATTTTTATAGCTAGCAAAACATCTGATTTTCTCGTGTTTCGTATTGGATGTTTTTGCGGGTGTCGCAATCGCTTGCCAATGATATAAGTTTGATATACGTGACCGTTTGACTTTGACTCCCTTCGATGTGTTTACCCTCGGATGGGGATTCGGTTTCCAATTTCGTTTCCGGCCGTTCAAAAAGCAAATTGCAAAAACCTAAAACCTAAAATCTAAAATATTTATTTTTCTCATTTCCTAAAGTGGCCTTTCAACGTTTTCCAATCTTTGTGAGTTTCTAAAGCAAGATGAAACGTAATATGCTTTTGTTGTATGTCTATTTTAGTTTTTGTTCATTTTACGTTTCGCAAAATTGCGATTTGTCGAAAACAAATTTGATTATGCTTGGAATTAGTTTCGAACACATTTTGCGATTACTTACCACACTGGAAATGACGATTGTCTGCGTGAAAACTTTCCGTAACTTATCATATCTTAACAGTGTTATACAAAGTGTTCCAAATAAATTTAAAATATAATATTTAAACAGTTTGAAATTAATTTATTTGTAACATCCAGTATTAATTCCTATAACTTAATATTTGATTCAATCAATATGTTTGGTTGAATAAATATTATTCAGACTAGACTAATCGAATGTTTCGCATTTTCAGAACTTTTTTCTATCGTTTCGATTGATTTCATTCCATTTCATTTCGATTTTGTTTGGTTTACTCTTATTTTTCTTTCATTTCACATACTGCGACGCTGTGTATAGGTATAAGAAATGTTTGGATTTAATTCCGATACGAATCTTGCATCGGAAACTTCGGATAATTCGCATGTAAGGAAGAAAACTTTTGCTTTCCCTAATTTACTAAGTTGTAACTTGTATCAATATTAAAATATTAAACAAAACATAACTTTGAAATTAGATTAAAAGTTACCAGTTATATTTATATTATTTTTATTATTCTTTGTTGAATGTGGTAAAGATAAAAAGGTAAACAAAGAATTGTATGCGACAAGTATTACTTCGTGCTAGTAAATGTAAACAACTCGAAATTCTTCGAGTTGTAGAACACAGGCTGCCATCTGTGAAGTCAACTCTCAACTTGTTGACTCTACTTCCAAACTTAACCGCCAGATGACGGGACGTGTACAATTTCAAATTAATTCTAAAGAATTTATACTGAGTGTTCTAAAAATTCATAAATAAAAACATGTTTTTAAGTTTGAACACAAAAAATATTTAAAAAAATTAATTTAACATTCTTTTATATCCACTTTAATATTTATACTTCCTTTTAAGTTGAACATTATCCATGTCCTTTTATGCGCATAATAATATACCTACAACATGTGATTTACCATCGATTTAGCTATTTAGAAAGGTTGAACACGTTAAATCAAATATCGAACGTAAAAGCAGAATTTATTGATTTTATAACGTGCTTATTCCATACTCTTAGCACACACTTATCATATCTCCGCACAATCTCATTTTATATTCATCGAATTTAAATCGAATGCTAAACAGTGTATTATGGTCATTGTAATAGGCTTCTAAGTGAAATCATGGCTTGTCCAGGTTGTTTCATTGTAGGTGGCATTCGATTATCATTTTATCGGCCATAACATACACAAAGTTTATCAAGACATTCGTGTTTTTATACTTTTTATATATTATTAAACAAAAATATTGACATTTACTTAAGTGGTGCTGGATTGTACACGAGTTAAAATTTTGGAATTTTCGATTCTTTCACCACATTTCAATAAAAATGCTTTTTGCGCGCGGCGTAGGCGAGGAAAAAATGTCGAAGGCGTTAAAAGTTTATGAGAAACAAGTGTCAATGTTCAAAAAGTAAAAATTTAAGTAAAAATTATTTTTAAATCGTTGTACATGTTCCAATTACACAATTAGACACAATTTAATTTATCTAAGGTGTTGCTTGATTAATCGCAGTGGATAATTAATCAAGTAATGAAGAATTTACTTAAGTAATCAACCATTACTCTTACTTAACATAAAATTAACACAGTTTTACATTTGTAAGCATTAATTTCTTGTTAAATATAAAAATAAAAATTTAATACTTTAAAATTTTGGCAAGTTATGAAAAAAATTAATGGATTTTTAAGTAAGCAATGAATTTCACCAGGAAAAATAACCGTGACACTGTTTCTTCCAACTTTAAAACATTCGCTTCCGCTTGAGTCGACTGCGCATACCGCCCGAATCAAAAATTCAATTTTTCATTCGTATTTATAGACTTCCCAACTCATATTTCAGTTTTTTCTTGAAAACTCATACATTTATATCTCTCCACGTGCGCTAAACGTTAACTTAATTGTTTGATGATGCGACGATCAAGTAGACGCACATAACTCACGCAAAAAGTGCGTGAAATTCACGCGTAATAAATTCCCGCCTGTCGCAAACGCATTAAATTCTAAATTTGACATAGAACCCGCCCGAGAATAAGTGATGATCCACTTTGCGTCATTAATTTCGTCGCTGTCGCATAAATTTCATTCATTTGTTCAAACATCGTCCATAATATACTTACAGTAAAGTATTAATCGTATAACTGGTTGCATATATTATATTACCTGATGGATACATCGGTTGCACGTGAAACTTGAACGCAGCCGGCTGCACAAGTTGCGAACATCCAAGCTGCAGACCATGGTTGAGAATGTGCACTAATACAGCGCATATCATTATCACCCAACCCCAGCCACCTTCCGGGTAGTAGTGGCGACAGAGAAAACGTCGCGCTTGTAGTTGTTGCTGGTGTTTTGTCGGTGTAGTAGGGCGCACTTCGTCGGCAGGCGCAGTGCCTGACAGGAGTGGCCAACTTTGCGCACGAGATAACGACGACATTTTATAAAATGTTTCACTTGATTTACACGCGGTGCACAGACAGACAAAAAGTTAGGTTAAACGTACTTTCATTCGTGACATTTTAGAGTATTAGAGCTGAAAGTTGGCATAAATCAATTATAATTGACTTATTTTCAAATTAAAAACATTTTGATTGATTGATTGATTGGTTGCATAACTTTTATTTACTAATAAAACCACTAGGTGGCGCTGAATGACTACTTTTTACTATATTTAGATTTATTCTTAGAGATTACGCTGAACTGAATTTTTGTGTTAATCACGTCTTTTGTCGGCGCGCAGTCGCCGTTAATTAATTAATTAATGCAGTGATTCGAGCGCCGCGTCACGTAGCCATTATGCAATTTATACAATTTCGAACGGAGATTGCGACCGCGTGCAACACGTAAGTGTTATTGCTTTCGGCCATTACTTTAAACTTACTTAAGCTGCGACTTAAGTATAAGTAAGTACATCCATTTTCATCAAAACAAAAGCACGATATAACCTTAAAAACCTACAAAAACAAGTTTTTAGTTTATTTGTATTCTCTTGAGATGAGTTGAGTTTATTTTTTAGTTTTTGTATGTATATACATGCGTTTTGTAGTAATGTAGTGTATAAACATGGTTATGTTCGTTGGCGTGTGATAATAACGCTCGCAATAGTCGTAAAAACAAACGAGCGGTTGGCAGCACAACAATTAAAACTTTACTTCTTTACTTGGCGTTGATTTTTTGCACTTTCTTCGCGTTTTTTTATTGTTTTCGTCTTAATTCGTTGCATGTGCACCAATATCTCATCAGCGCCATCTGTTCGCGTGTTATGCTGACTCGACGTGATTTTTTTCTCGCTTTTATTACATTTCAATGTATATATAGTGTTTTATTACCATCAACACCCTTAAAACAAAGTTATTTCTTTCAGATAACATTTGCAGCTTTAGTTTTAGTTGATTTTTTCTGCTTTGTGGTAGTATTTTATCATTTCGTCATCAACACGTCGTCATCTTTTTTTTAAGGTTATATCGCGTCGGCTGCGTTTGTTTGTTTTATTTGTGCCGGTTTGTCACCTTTTTTTCATCGTGCCCTTTTCGCCGTTTATAGTTTTCGCGTTAATCTGTTCGCCGTGTCCGTTTTCGCAGTGTTTATGGTCGGGTAAGGTTCATTCCGCTCATTAACGCGACGCGCCGCGAGCCGCGGCAGCCGTTGGTGCTTTATGTGCGGTGCGCTTTCAAGTAAAAGCAAAAACGTGTAACTAACCCGCGGCACATGCAAAAAAAGCGAGCGATACGCCCATAAAAACGACAACGGCAAGTTAGAAAATGATAGCCATCATTAGCCGTCAAGCGTGTTCGCAGTTCACGTAAATCGCAAAAATTCAGAGTGTACAAAGAGATTTATCAAAGAAATAAGATTCTAACCTGTTTTCTTTTGTAGATTTTGTATTGTGAACTCACACAGAAGTGGAAACACCGCAACGTTAACGCGGAACAAGAATAAAGCTAACCTCACGTTTATTCAAGCTTGGTTTTTCTTCTTGACGTCAGTTTTGTGCACCACAGCGCCCCCTACATGAATATAATTTGAAGCCAGTGTACTAACAGCCTACAACAAGCTTAATCACGTAGGTAAATCGTAAAAATGTACAGTTAACAGCCAGATTTATCAAAGAAATAAGATTCTAACCTGTTTTCTTTTGTAGATTTTGCTTTGTGAACCCAAACACAAGTGGAAACACCGTATCGATAATGCAGAACAAGAATAAAGCTAACCTCACGTTTATTCAAGCTTGGTTTTTTTGGCCAGTTTTGGGCACCACAGCGCCCTCTACATGAATCTAGTTTGAAGCCAGTGAACTAGTCTAAAGCTAACTTCACACATTGAGTGCTCATCTACATGTTAGTGTTGTGCACCCCAGCGCCCTCTACGTGAATCTACTCTGAATGCTTCGAAACAAAACTATTTCTATAAGCAAACCTAATAAATATTAGTTTTAGTTTAATTAAAACGCTAGATCAGGAGAAATACGGATAAATACCGTTGTTTAATGCGAATTAATAACTCCTCGATAAAGTTCCTGACATAACAACAAACTATTTTATGTACTTTTTATTGTCTTCCGCTGAAGTTCGGATTAATTGCACTTTTGGTCTTGATGCTATCATTTTCCTGTGACGATATTAATTTTTTGAAGCTGCCAAAACACGTTTTATTACCGCGCGCGTTTAATAAAATCTCTTACGCATGCAAAACGCCGAAAATTACATAGCGGGGCGCGTTTTAACTCAAAGTAACACGACTTAAGTACCCGAAAAAAACAACTAGCGACATAAATTTGTTGCATGTGCTTCGTTTTGTTGTTGTTTATGTTGTTGTTTTGGAATTCCACGCTTGTTTCCGGACTGTGTGTGCATTTTATAAAAGGTATTTTTAACTTTTTCGGCTGTTGGTTGATCATCCGCAGAGACGCGCGCGCGCAGTGTGTGTGCAAGTGTGCAGGGTAATAATTTCGATGGCGATTTTTACGACTTTCCGAGCGCGTCGCTTTTGATAGTCGTGGCCCAGTGCATAACTCACAATCAAGTGCCCAGCGTCCAGTGCGGCGAAAAAACTTGAAGAACTTCTTTGGCAACAAGGAAGAGACGCGTTTGTGTGTTTGTGTGTCGTGTAAACGGGAGGTGCGCGAACCGGATGCATTCAACAATGTTGTATGCAAATTTGTTGCGTTTTTAAAGCGTTTTAAACGCCAAAATGTGACCAAAAGCAATATTTATCACTTTATATACTCAATTTCTATTATATTACTCTTGTTATTTATTGGTAACAAGATTTAATAAATAGGTACAGGCTATTTTAGGTCAATTTTTTTTTACAAAATTTGATTTTAATTGTTTATAACTTTTTAGATAATAAAGATATTATTAATATTTTGATGAAATTAGATAAAGAATTTAATACTAAATGTATTTCCAAAAGAATTTTGGATTTATCGATAATAGTTTTTGAGTAATAAACAAAAAACTAAAGTCTTGACAATTATTTTTTGAAAAAATTCAATTTTACCTGTTTATAACTTTTTAAACAATAAAGATACCAATAGCATTTTGAAGAAATTAAATAAAGAATTTAAAACTTAATGAATTCCTGAAAGAATCATTGTAATATCTCTTAAAGCTTTTGAGTAATTAACAAAAAACCAAAATATTGACAATAATTTTTGACAAAATTCAATTTTAATTGTTTATAACTCTTTAAATCATAAACACACTAATAAAATCTTCTAATAACTAAATAAAGAATTTAATACTAAATTAATTCCTTAAAGAATCATAGTAGAATCTCTAATAGTTTTTGAGTAATTAACAAAAAACTAAAAAATTGACAATGAATTTAATTTTAACCTTGCCAAAAATTTCGAAGTCGAATCAGACAATATAAAACAGTCGCGCCAGTGAATTCCTACATCTTGCAGTCATTCCTCGATTTCGACTCGTCGACGACTTTGAGCACAAGACCACCCGTGCAAAATCTTTATCTCATTGCATATTTTACGTTTTTTATAAAATTTGTTCCGGCACCAAGCAAAAAAACGCAAAAAAAAAACACAAAAAAGCAAAAAAAAAACTTAAAAACCAAAATAAATCATTTTAATCCGAATTAATATTAATATTAAAATTGAATAATGACAGGTTTGCGTTTGTAATCTTCTACAACTTCTGCGTGCCCGTCCATTAATTTCGCAACCTGTCCAAATGCGTTGATAATGTTGATATCCGAAAATTCATCACGCCGGATTTAATTTAATCCAATAAAGTTATCGCGTAAATATCCCTCTGTAATCCTATTATCAGATAAAGTTTATTTTTCATATTATTATTCTCAAATTTTCAAAAATAATGAAATTTATTTTTATTTTTTGTATTTTTTTGTTAGTGATTTTCTTAATAGCCTTTGTCCGAAAAGTTAGTAATAAATTAGCGGTGGTAATCTTGTAAATGTCTTCATATTAAGTGAAATCGAGCGAAAAATTTCAAGAATTCTTGTTTTTTGCGTCCGGCGATTCTCTCCCAATTCGATTCCATTCCCAATCTGTCCTCTTAATCTTTTTCGAGCCCGCGCCTCGCGTTTTTATTTCATTTCGCGTATTTACATTTTTTTTATTGCGAAAACTTAAAAAAACTTTCTTTCTAAAACTAATAAACGTTTATTTTTATTGTTTTCATTAAAATTTCCACAATAAAACCACAAAATTTCTGCATTTCCGTGAATTTTTTTTCCATTATTCAAGCTCAGCGATTGTAATTCAAGACGTCGAAGTGCGCGTTGAATAAATATATTGTTGTGTTGAAGCCACACACAAAGCTCTTTCGCGAAGAGAGCTTGAATTGTAAGTGGAGAGGCGGCTTGCGATGCTGTCTGTCATGGCGCGTGCATAGAACTCAATTGCATTAACTTTAAGCCGTCTGTAAATCGCTTGATGCCGCTTTGATTCCTCGCCAATGCGGCGCTGATGTATTACCTCGTTATCGCTTAGGTGCGCTTTAAGCTAAGGGCGCACGCGCGTTCGATGCGCGAGTATTAACATTGCGTTAAGGATTCTTGTGGTTGTCATGCGCCAATCTTGAATCAGTGTGGTCACTGTTCTCACCGTGGGTCCAGCAACTCGTTAGCATAACCGCTAAATTCATTTTAACGCATTGGGAAATACTGCGCATGCGCAAAACACTTTAATTCATAAAATATTTTTTTTCTTGTGTTTTTCGACTTTTTAAAAAGTTTAAATGACTCTAGTTATGGTTTTTCATATACTGCGCATGCGCAAAACACTTTATTTCATAAAAACATTATTTTCTTGTGTTTTTCGACTTTTTAAAAACTTTAAATGACTTTAGTTGTAGTTTTTTATATACTGCGCATGCGCAGAACACTTTATCTCTGAAAAACATTATTTTCTTAGGTTTTTAGGCATTTTAAAAACTTTAAATGACTTTAGTTGTAGTTTATCATATACTGCGCATGCGCAAAACACTTTATTTCATAAAAACATTATTTTCTTAGGTTTTTTGACATTTGAATAACTTTAAATGACTCTAGTTGTTGTTTTTCATATACTGCGCATGCGGAAAACACTTTATTTCATAAAATATTATTTTATTATGTTTTTCGACATTTTAAAAACTTTAAATGACTGTAGATGTAATTTTTCATATACTGCGCATGCGCTAAACACTTAATTTCATAAAAACATTATTTTTGTATGTTTTTTGACATTTTAAAGACTTTAAATAACTTTAGTTGTAGTTTTTCATGTACTGCGCATGCGCAGAACACTTTATTTTGTCTAAAACACGATTTTCTTATGTTTTTCAACATTTTAAAAGCTCTAAATTCAACAAAATGATTTTTTATGTACTGCGCATGCGTAAAACACTTTATTTTACCTAAAACACTATTTTCTTATGTTTTTCGCCATTTTAAAAGCACTAAATGTCTCTAGATGTGTTTTTTGTTGTTGTGTGACTCGTGCGCATGTATTGTTGAGTCCTTTTGCGTTGACTGGATGCATGACGGCTTTTTATACGCACACATAGGCAACCATACGTGCTGCTCTTATTTTATGCACTTTATGCACTTTATATGCTTATTTAATTAAAAAAACTTCCCGCATCAGCAGCGAAACGCGCGCGCTTTGCAAAAACCGACGAAAATAATGAAAAAATTCTTTCGTGCGACTCGCTTATGTTTTGCTTTTTGTATGTGTGCTGCCTTTTAAGTAAACGCAAGCAAACGTGTATTAAATGTAAGAAAATGGCGAATATTTTTTATGCGACACATAAATTATGCAACCGACGTCAATAGACTAATAATTTTCGTTGTTTATGTTTATATTTAACCCAGTTTAACAAAATAAGAATAAAAAATATTTAATTTGTAATTTTTTTACTTTTCTCGCTTTTTTTACTTTTGCGGAAGAAAAAAAATCTCTACTCTGAGGCGGGTAAACGAGCATCATCCCCATCATGTTTTACCACCCGTCGGCGTTCACACTACGCCTCAGTCAGTCCTGGAATTGATGTGGATATATTGGCTATCTATTACCGAAAAGCGCCGGCGTTCATTACACACAACGCACACACAACCGCTCGCCGAAATGTTGGCGTGTGCGTTAAAAGGGGTTTTTGCATACATGTGCGCGTGAAACGTGCGAATGAAAGGGAACGTTAACAAAAACGTATAGAGGACATTTGTCCTCAGTATGAATGACTCGCCGTCGCCGGAGGCGTATTAATACACATCAAGCACAATGACGTGCAAATTGATTTGAACAAATGAGTGTCTTTCAACTGCCAAAAATAAAAATCATAAAATCTGTCGTGTGCAATCATTTTTAAAATTTAAAAAATGAAAATTTAGGTTATGTTGTGTCACCAACGCCATCTATATTATAATAGATATATTTATTACGCAAATAAACCATCCCGTGACTAAAGCTCATGACTAATGTACTTTAGTCACGGTTTTGGTCGTCTGTGTTTAAAGTAGCACTTTTTGTGTCTCAAAATCGAAGAAAAATTAGTGGTTTAAAGGTGAATGTACAAAAATATTTTTTTAAAATTTAGGTTATGTAACCAGTAGTCACTACCGCCATCTAAATAACATTAGATATACTCGTATTTATTACACATCAATGGAACGCAAAATCCATCCCGTGACTAAAGCCGGTGACTAAAGTACTTTAGTCACGACTTTGAACGTCCGTGTGTAAAGTACCATTTTTTTTTGTCAAAAAACCGTAAAAAGCACTTCCTCATCAAAGGTAGAAGTAGATAAAAGATTTTAATCATTTTAAAATTCAGGTTATGTATTAAGTAGTCACTGCCGCCATCTATATTAGATTATATATACTTATTAACCGTATTACAGTATTTTTATTACTTTGTGCAACGTGAGACGATAAATCACCGTAACGATTTATTGAAAATATGACAGATCATAAAAAGTGATGTGATGTGCAATATATGTGAAGATGTACGAGTAGTATCGATTTACGATGCAATTCTGTCAATTATCCGCGGACGTCGGG